CCCCCTTTTTTTTTTTTTTTTTTTAAGCAAGAACTTACAAAGAAGTCAAAGGAAAGTGCTAAAAATGCGGTGCTTTCTGACGAAAAATTCTGGATTTCCAGCCTTGCCACGGCTCGACTCCCCCTTCCCGTCTCCTCCCCCGCCCCTCCAGCGCAGCGAAAGAAACTTTCCTCGCCGCCGCGAACCTGAGTTCGAGACACACAACCGGGCTCGGGTATTTTCCCCCCCTCTTCATGTGGGGGGAAGGAGGAGGGGAGGCAGCCGTGGGGGCCCCGGGGCAACGGAGAGACCTTTGCTTCTCTAAAGGAGCAGCTCTTTCCGAGAGGATTTCTGCTTTAGATCGCGCGGGCTGATTTCAGGGTTACGAAAACTAGATGCAGCTTTCCTATTTTCTTTTCTCTCTCTCTCTTTTTTAATTCACTTTATTTTTGTTTACTTTTTATGTTTTGAAATTTATTTTCCCTTTTTTTTTCTTTCTTTCTCTCTCTCTCTTTTTTTCATCCCCCCCGCCGCCGTGGCTCCCTCTCCGCAGGCTGCGGGAAGGGAGGGCGCGCTCCGCCGCGCGCCCCCGCACCCTGCCCCGCACGGGGTCTCTCCCCGGGCCCCTCTCTCACCTGGCTGGCGGGCGGAGCTCTGCACGCGGTTGTAAGCCCCGCCGTACTGGTGGTAGGGACTGGCGTAGCTGTAGTCTGCATAGGCTTTGGCGGGGTAGTTCCCGGCAGATCCGTTCATGCCGTGGTACTGGTACTGGTAGGGGTTGAGCGCTTTGCCGTAGGAAGCCGAGGTAGGCGAGCAGTAGCCGTGCGGGGCTCCCCCCGCGGGACTGTAGTAGTCGGAATCCGTAGCCGAGGACTCGGGCAAAGTCGGAGATTCCTGGGAGGGATGGTGCATGGCTGCGGCCGTCTGGAAAGGAGCCTGGAAGTCGCTGGACCTGATGTTGGGGACCCTTCTGTCAAATACTCCTGTCATAGCTCGGGGCCGGCCGCTCGCTGCTGGGGCTGCTCGGCTCTAAGCGGACATGGCCGGGGGAGGAGGCTGCGCTCTGCGGCTCCGCGCCTGGCTCGGGCAGACTGCTGGCTGGGGCGCAGCACAGCCTTGGTTAAATCCTTAATTGCGCTCTTACGCACAGCAGGGTGGATCGGGTTCCATTGGCCAGAGCAATCAGGAGCAGCGACACCCTAACTCGTCCAACTAGTTTAGCACAACAAAGCTCGGGCTGGACCAGATTTTACTAGACACTGAGGAAAACAAATAAAAGGCTGTTTCGGTGACCTGGAGTTGTCGATTTTTCTGAAGTTGTTTACTCTCCAGATTTAGCGTGTTTGCTCACTGAAGATCTCCTCGCCAGCTGGGTAACACTTGTAACACAACCATGTATGTTGTACTTGAACTTATTGTTTGCTTTGGAAATGTCCACAGCTCATATAAAATCACATTAAATAAATCCCTAACCATTTCAGTATATGAATCACTTACTTAAGTCCATTAGAAATATCTTTGCTCCCGTCTTTTCTTTTCCTTTTAATTCTCCCCCAAAGAGGGGAATCGAATACGTTTACCACTGGGGAGGTGGAAAATGAGTTTATTTAAAGCGTTGAATTTACGTCCATTTGGAAGGGACCGCAGAGAATTTAAGGAGATGAAGGTGGTGGGGGGAGAGGAGCCCGTAGGTGTCATAAATTCCTGGGCACCAACACGCCCGGGCAGGACGGGGGCATTGGGAAGGAGGCGCGGGAGGAGCGCGGGCTCCCCCCGCCCCGCAGCATCTGCCGCTGTGCGGGGAGAGAAAAGTCCCGATATTACATATAAAATAAAATGTAAAATCACCAGATATAGCCACAGGAGCCCCGAGTTGGTGTTTTTTGAAGACTCGAGCGTCCCGCGCGTCTATGGCTCATGGCAACGCGCACAAATGCGCGGATGCGGGCGTCCTGCCCCACCTCCAGCAGCCCGAACCCGATTTTCTTGACTTTCGGCTGCTTTGTTTTTTTCTTTTTTTTTTTCATTTTTTCTCTCGTTTCTCCCCCAGCGGTTTTTATTTGACACATCCGGCGGGGAGCGCGCCCGCGGGCCGGCGCCGGCCCCTGCCCCGGTGCCACAATGCGGCCATTGTGCGCGGGCACGAGCTCCGCTCCGCGCGCGGCTCCGC